AAATTTATTGATCAAATACGCAAAGTCTTATATTCGGTCTTACATTACGTCTATGATGAATTGTCATGCATTTCCCTTTCGAATAATAATAATAATTTGATATATATAGACATCACTTCAGCCATTTACATATTGTTTTATCTTATCGTTTCATAAAAGATTTTTTGTTGAACAGAAAATTCTCATCTTATGTTCATCATAAACTTTTGTTCATGGTTGTTGTTATTATTATTCATTGAAGCATACTGTTTTGCTGCAAAGAATCAGCCTTGTGCTAAATTGAATGAAGCATTCATGTTCAAAGAACAAGAGGCAATGAGTCCGAACCCAGGTCCAGGTGGTTTGTGTGATGGTGTAAGCAAAAATTACAATATTACTATTCGTCGAATATCTTTGTTTCTAGAAAACTCATTGTCAAGCTGGACGAAGAAGGAGATCGACCAATCCAGTTTCGATTTGTGTGCAGCAAAGTGAACATCGCATAAAAGTACAACATTTGGGAATGGAACATCTTTTTAGTGCATTATCCAATTTACACCATTCGATTCGAATTGGTGGATATTGGACGATACCAAACTTTCTGTGGAATCCAATCACTAATCATCGATGTGATCTAGAAAAAGTGAATATGTGCCGTCCAGAACTGTGGAATCATCATGATGATATTAAAATATCCTGTTTTGAAAATGAATTTGAACTGTTAAAATGGAGTAAACAAATTCTAATTCCAACAAATCATCTTGACTCAAGAATTCCAAACGCTGAAACTGATTTTGAAAGTTTATTACCATTCCCAAATTTATTTAATGTAACAATTATTAATGTTGAACAATTACAAATATGTCAGAAATCAAGTTCGATTGTATGTCATAAACGAATGGATCTGCATAATGACAGAAAATGTTCATTTTATCTTTGTCATACAACACAATCAACAGAATTAATTAACGTAACATTTCAATATGAACCGACAAAAATCATGGTAGCTATGTCGATAATGTGTCATCCATTAAGAAAAGAACAAACACGAGACTATCGAACTTTTAAAGAAGACAAAATCTGTCATTTTCTATCACCACAGGCGAACTTTTTTCTGTGTGACAATCAATTCTAAGCACTTGACCAACGCAAGTTCAATGAACATCTTTTCATTTATTTCAATTTAATTTTGCTTCTGAGAAAATATCTTTCCTTTTTTGTAATACTTATAATAAAATCTGCTGTAAACAAAACATTCTTAACAGCATAAAGTCAATTTTTTCGTTTTTGTCTAGTTATCCTAATCTATTCAAATTGACTCAGAGTGTGTCATTCACACGCTGTTATATTGCATGGTTCACTGTTGAGCTGCGCTCTACTGGCAAATGATCATTGTTTTCCA